GAAAGATTCATCGAATTTTATGAATCGTTGCTTCTTAGTAAGATGTGCTAACCAGAGCTTCTCTGCAAATGTGTATAGATTTAACTTTTTTGCTTTACTGTTGCCGTCCTGAAATATAAAACGTTGAGTATATTTGTCTTTCATATTACAAAAGAAATTTGCGATTGTATTGAACTCAGTTAATCGCCATAAGAAAAGAAAAAAAATTTACATGTGTAAGAATCTCGATTTTCAGTCACCAAATTAGATGTGGCCATATTATTTTCTGTTTGTTTACTAAGGTATTTTTAGATCAAATTATATAATCTTCTGTCTAATCTTAGAAGTAATTTCTGACGAATTCGCCCTAACTAGCAAAAAATCGACCACAAATCAGGAACAAGTTGAATAAACAAATGAGTTGTTAAAGTCTAATTTTTACGACGATTAACTCAATCAGCGATACATCAAGGTAATGGGTATAGATCAAAGGGATATCAAAGTATCCGAACGTAAACGACAATTTATATTTGCGTTCCCGTCGTCCACGTGGAAACGATAATGCGACGACGTGGTCGTCGGGAAAGGGGAACCGTGAAACCACTGAAAGCGAGAACGTGAGTTTCGACGGCCATGACGATCTCGTACCGACGCATCATTGGCGGACAGACTACGAAATTAATACGAAGCAAACGGCCATCTTGTCCCTGTACCGAATTTACGTACGTATACGAAAAGGGGTTCTAATGTGCCGCGGCGTGTGGATATCGGAGAGCCGCGTTACTCGAGTCACCGCGTCCGTGCATACATTCGCGTACGTGTACGTTACGCGCCCACATACACATGTGCGTGTACACATGTAAGGATGAGAAAGGCCGTGGACGTATGCGTGAAGATTGATTATACCGCAGGAGAAAATGTGATCAATAGCTCAACAAACAAAGGCCTCCGACGCCTATATAATGCAAATAGCAAAAATCGCGTAGGATTAAGGGAGTTGCGAAGGGAAGAGGACGTGTGGGATCGCGGAAAGGGGAGTGAGAGACGATAGGGTGGCGCGACGGTCAAGAAACAATACGGACGCGTGCGGCTACTTCAAGTTTGCTTGACACCACCGCGTACAGGCAGCCCTTGCGCTGTGCGCATACCCTCCGCGTACCCTTCGACTTCGCACCCTTCGGGTTCTTCCCTACGAGCCAGCTCGGAGCCCACCGTCCTCGCTTTAATTTGCATACGACCGATCATGTCTTCCGACTCGCCTTCACATCCTCGTCGCCATACCTCACGACCATCGATCAAGCCCCGATTGTTTTTGCTTCAACTCACCCCCACTTCGCCACCCAGATTGGACGCCTTCGTGCTGGGGGCTGCTCGTTGGTCACTACCCCCTACACGTACGTCTCTTATGCGCGCACACTGACTTTGTGTGGCTCTGCAGCAGTCGAGAATCTCGCTAACGAGCGGTTCTCCTTCTACCGATGACATTGTTCCAACGTAGAAAACCTGCCAACATCCGCTACCCTCTACTGCCGTCCCTAGCGATAATTCTTCACTCTTACTTTTCTTTCATGATCTCTACCCTTCTTCACATTTTTTCCGCAAAATAAACTAATGATTGTTAAATTAACTTTTTTTAAAACATTTTTATTTTTAAAACGTGCTACATGCAATTAATTTTTTAATTTTTTATCCATAGAGTATTGTTTTTAATAATGTGCAACATTAATGTTATCATTTTTATAATTCAAGTTAATTATTCCATTAATTTGTTATACATATAAAAGATGTAATTATAATACTAATTTATGTAATAATAAAACTAATTTTAATCAAATTTAGTAACAAGATGCAGAATTTCTTTCTCTTTCCCTCTTGATAGAAATAAATTATTTGCGAGATAGATTGGAAGTGAAATTCAGTACAAGGTTGAAATTCAATATAACGAACGATATGTAACTGCAACAATCGAGAATCGACGGTTTTTGTGAACTTCCCGGAAACGTTAAATTTAACCGAAACCCATTGATCCATCGCGCGGTCATCTCTAAATAGTACGATTATTAATACTATTGATATTCGAGCGAATGAATTAAAGAGACAGTGATCTTTCTTATCGTTACTATCATATACATGTCAGATTGCATTTCAGCTTATGAAAAGTCGATATGTGATATTACGAAAAAAAAAATAATCCAGTACTAAATTTTACTTGCGAAGGCATCATAAAATTAATATATATGTGTATCTACATTCCAACTAAATTAAGATTTATTAAATGATCTTTGTTTGTCTAAGATTTATATAAAACTAGATTAATATCGTTTATATAAATAAAATCAACTGTTACATATGTTAATGTATTAGGAATATTATGGAAATATATTATGATTTATGTATATTGTTGCAATGCATAAAATGTTTTGAACATCGCGACTGGACACTTTAAAATTTAAATTAAAAATTTCACACGTATGTGTTCAATAATATGGATAGCATTATGTCATAATCATTTCTCTTTCGTATAAAACATGTGTCAGAAGAAAGTTTAAAGTAGGTTCTGCATTCCGTTGGTTCTGCTTTACTCGCTCTATAGTTTGCTAATTGAAGAAACATATGGTCACATTTTGCACTGTGTACGTTGATTTCATCGTTTTATTCGCATCGTTAAACAGTAGTCACGAAAGAGACGGAGAGCAGAGTCGATAGACCGCTCTCCCACAACGCCAAACGCAAGGGGTGAGTGTCCGTCACGTGAAAAAAAAAAAATACACGCATCGCCGCGCCGGGTCGCCGCCGTATTTATCGTAAGTTCGTCGATCGACGTGGTGTTAATTCCACCTGTCCTTCGTTTCAGGTTTCCCTCATGGCGATAACCTACCTCATCGCCACTAATGGCGGACATTATTGCGAGCGATCGCGGCAACTTCGGAAACTTATCCCTACATAAGCCACCTCCGCCAGCAGCAACCACCCCTTTCTACCTGATGGTATATCGAACGTCAATGCGTACTTATCTACACCCGCGTCGGTTCTTACCTGTGTACCGCTATGTGTGTATATATGTGTATGTGTTCGTGTGTATGAGTGCGTGTGTGTGTATGACATCGCCACAATACGCACTCATATTTGTTCGCTACATACATATACACACATACATATTTATACAAGTATAGAAACGAAGCTTCTGGACGTAAGCGCGTATCGATTATGGGTGAAACGGAGGACAATCGACAGGTAGCCGCCCCCGATAAATAAACTAACGAGTAAAAACGTGCAAGTTTACCGCGTGCGTCAAGGCTGTTCGATTTTACGCTACCGCGATGAGTCATGGCGTTACAAGGCGCCAGAGGAATGTGGTTAATTTCATTAAATTATAAAGACTCAATCGATACGTACCGGTTATATCCATTATTATCAGTGAATACATCGCGTGACAAATCGAGAAAGGAATTCTCGCGTTTGTAGATTTTAAATAAATTGAACTAGGGGAACGGTCAAAGCCCGCGCAAGATGCAAAACACGCGTATCCAACATCTGTGGTGTAGAGGTGCGAATTTTGCAAAATTGAACTCGTTGCTTCTCGATTAACCCGCGGAGCACGGAAAGAGAGACGATGCCTCGGTGAGAAAAAACAATTGATACGATCTCATTCACGTAGCTCGTTGCATCGCGAACGCGCCAACGTACTCGGCTTTAAAATCGTCCCGTCCTACCCCTCTTTGATCGGTTTTCTCTCTTCCTCTTCCTGCGCCTGCAGCCTGCCCTTCCCACCATTCCGTATCCTCGCGCACACGCATTCATGTGAACCCTCGCGGAACACGTGGATAGGTTTCGAGTGCTCGCAATTCATCGCGATTGATTGCGGCACAGTGGCAACACAACGATTGCCGTACGCTCTATTCGTCGCAATAATTTTTTGCCGGCGTTGCTGCCACTCGATTCTTTCAACATCCCGGATTCGTCCTCGTTATAGAAATGGAAAAACAAGACGGCGCGGTCGCACTGTAATTATTATGTGCGGATCGATGACGCATTAATGAGGGACGGATGTACTTCGTATACGTCGCTACGGGCGACACCATGAGTATAAATGTCATTGATTCTTTTATCTTCTAGGTTATACTTAATTCTTTACGCTAATTAGTATTTGTTAGCATTTTTAGTTCTTACGATATCAGGAATTATCTTTGAGAGAATCGTTTATTAAATATTTTCTTCAAAATTATCACGCACTAATTTTATTAATTTTAAGTTATAGGAAATTAAATACAAACATAGAATCGCTAAGTAAAACCATTTTTTGCAAAATCATATAGCTTTTGCTAACAACAAGATAGCTGCGAAATCATATTTATTATCATATCCAATTGAACTTCAAGAACTTCAAGTGTCGAAGCGACGAGATAGTCGGTGACATATGTCATAAATTATTACCGATACGATAATAGGACAATTCAACGATTCGATCGATTCGATTGAAACTTTATACGTAATTTAATCCACGGTAATTACATTCAGACTCGCCAAGATTTAAAGTTATCCTCGCTTAAGCGTTCGCTATTGATTTCCGTATATATTCCCGATAAAATTAATAAAGAGCTTCTGGTAAGCTCCTTACTAGGTTCGGTCCCAGATAAACGATGCTCGAGGCGAATCGCGAAGGAGGGAGAGGAACTCATAAATGTGATTCTATATTTGTGTCGATGATAATGTAGTTACGTTCCATCTTCATTTAATCGCTTCGAGTCGATTTCCTGATGAGCGATGCGAAAGTACTCGGCGTTATTTCCGGAAGTAGCAATTTCTGTGATTTATAGCGTGCGATGTCTTCCTTAATGCGGGGAATTTTATCGTCGGTATCGTTCAATAAATATTACGAGCGCAAGACACTGCGCGCGCGTTGGGGGATATTAACATTTAAGATTTTCCAATTGATTTATATGCGTTACTTTATCGATCTGCAATTTACACGAATATGATTTTTATCAGACATTTAATGAGGTCGATGTTGCTATTTCTAGATCAACCAGTTGGTTGAGGAGGTGTCCAGGCTACAGCAGAGCCTGCAACGCCTTCAGGAGACAAGTGCGCAAGCAACGGCGCGGCTCGAAGAGGAACTTGAAGTGCGCAGGCAGCACATTAACAGACTGGAGAGCAAATTGGAACGGCAGAGGGACTATGATGACCTGAAGCGCGAAATCAGTGTATTGAGATCAGTCGACCTCTCGCAAATACCAACTGGCGAGCCTGGAAAAAGCTTGGAACATCTTCTTATGGAGCGCTTCAAGGCGCTCCAACAAGCTGAGAACCTGAAACCCTCCAATACACCCGACGCACTCGGTAAGTGGACTAGCGATATATTTCTTTTAAAATCGTTACATATGAAAGATACTTAATTTTAATTGTAAAATATTGAAGTAACTCGAAGAAGAATAAAACGCGAAATTGCAGGTCGGGTTAGCTGATTTCCAGCATTGTAATATAATTTGTATGAAACTTAATTGTTTTGAAAAAAATGGAACATTCAAAAATATTGTCTCTAAATATGGATCATAGCGTTAATTAATCGGAAGCATACATGTAATAAATAAATAAATAAATCATGTAATATTTAAATAGAGAAATATATGATCGTGTAGGGATCTCTATTTTAAAATTAAAAGAAGTAATAGTTAGATAAGATAAAAAAGTAACGAGGTGTCGGTAGGTCGGTCACACCTCGGCTATCTCGCTACTAATTCTTGCGCTACCGCTCTGATCTTCGGTCCCCGACTCTCTCTCTTCGAGGCTCCGTCGACGGGCTTTATCATCGAGTAACAATGAAAAGGACACGAGTCACGCAACGCGGACGCAAGAACGCTTCCATAGAATAAACGAGGGATGACTGAAGGAGCTTATCGGAAAAGAGAACAACAAAAATAACCCTGCTTGCCATTGTGTTCGCACTTTTCTCTGACTCTCTTTCTCTATCTCTCTATCTCTCTCTGTCTATCTCTACCTTTCATACTGTCTTCCCTTTTACTTCTCTTTGTCTCTTTCTCTTCTCCTCTGTCCAGTCTATCTCTGTTTTATCATTCCTATCGTCTCTACTTCTTTCTCATATACATATTTCATTTCTCCAGACTTGGCTGCTTAGGCTGCACTTTTTCGAGCCATTCTCTCGCTAATAATAACGTACATTCGTGGAAGGTACTAACGCAACCGAACACACATTAGCCCTTTATCTTTCTCTCTTATAGGCCTACCTTGTCTTTTACCGAATGTTCCAAATGTTCCTCTCTTGCCCGCGTAAAGGGTCCTCTAAACCGCTCTTCCCTCCCATTTCCATCCGTACACTGGGAAACGCAAACTTCGTGCACGCAAATTTGTGGACGATATTCGCAATATTTGCCCGGGCCGAGCCATTGTTTCGGGGACAGAGTTTATTATGAATCGATCCAAGCTGACAGAGAGAGCGCGCGATGAGAAGGAACGAGAAAGAGACACTCTGTACATGCAGAGAGCCAGAGGGATACTGCAACGTGTCGCCCCTTCTAAATCAAACCGACCGAATCCATCCTTCTACGTCGTCGTCGCTCGTGTTCCTATCTTTCCGATCCCGCTATTACTTCCTTCAACCGTAACGGAGTAAGAGCACCGTCTTTACGTAAAGATTTCAAACATCTCGTACGCCGAGATCCCGTGGTAACATAAAATCTTTTTCGAGGCCGGTCTTGATGATATTTTAAAAGACCAAATAATACTTCCCAGGCAGCCACGTAGAAAGTTTTTGTTCCCAACCCTGCGATATTCCGTACTCTGACATTTGCGACAAACACGTCATAGGACAAAGAACTGCATCTTATTTGACGTGATTTCTCGAATCCGCGCGCGTCATCGCGATCAACGTTCAACGCGAGATGGACGGTATTCTTACGGCCACAATTTCTTTCCGGGCGATCGGCAACGTCTCCACAGTCTTCCTCTCGTTGGCGTCCACGTCGTTCCTCGTTTGTACACTCAAGCGTGGATTATAATTCGACGAAGCGTCGAAAAAGAGAGTCTCGGTCATCCGTCGTCCCGGAAGATGATCAACAGAGCCGAAGTCACCGGTCGATTTCGTACTTCGAAAGAGACAGCGCGGACGGACTGGCGATCAGAACGGGAACAACATCGCGAGCCGAAGTTAGGTTGAGTGTCATGTACGCGTGAGATCGTGCTGACGGGCTCCCTTGTGTTTTTGGTGGTTGCAGGTGGATTATCGTCACCCCTGCAGCGCGCCTCGACCGCCTCGCCCCACGGGGTCGGAGGTGTGCCACCTACGTCCCATGTGTCCTCCCAGCAACCACCGCCACCGCCTCCGACAGCAGCCTCCCTCCCTCCACGTTCCACCCCGACGCCTTCTTCGGCCACTTCGACGACTTCGAGCCTCCTCTTTCCGCCACCCCTCCAGAACGTCGAGACCTTCGGCTCGTTTCTCGGTGAAGAGATCGTCGCCAATTGGAGGCGGACATTGGAAAGGTCTATCATGAGCCAACAGCAGCAACAGCAGCAGCAACAGCAGCAGCAGCCACCGCCACAGCAGCAATCACAGCCATCTCAATTAAGCCAGTTAACTCAACAGCAACAACAATTGCAACAAGCCCAACCGCACATGGGTTTACACCCGCCAACAACGCCAAGTAGTTTAAATCATCTTCCATCACCGGGCACGGATCCATCGTCCACCTCGAATACTCCGGTGAAATCGAATACACCGATCGGTACAACACCCCTGGGCAGTCTAGATGTCACTGAGAAAGCACCAACGCCGGTATCGGGACACGAGACGCCGGCACCTCCGACACCATCCTCCACAACCGCCTTGACATCGCCGCCGAGCTTCCAGCCACCGACGTCGATGGTGGAAACTAGTACTCCTTCGGCTTCCATCAATGGCAGCGGTCTCACGCCCGGCGTACCGAGCGCACCACCCCCGAAGAGTCCGCCCGATCAAGAATCATGTCACAATAATAACAATAGCCATCATCTGGCGAATAACAATATAGGCGGGCTGGGCGTCCTCGATACCCTGAAGAGTCCGTTTCGGTTTGACGATCGAACGTATCCCTTCCGATTCGGCGACGAGTTCGGTGCCGCCGGTATGGCCGGTCGGCTGGGCGAGTCCCTCATTCCAAAGGGCGATCCCATGGAGGCGAGACTGCAGGAGATGTTGCGTCATAATATGGACAAGTACGCCTCGCAGAATCTTGACACTCTTCACATAGCCAGGCGGGTGCGCGAACTGTTGTCGATACACAATATCGGTCAGAGACTATTCGCCAAATACGTTCTTGGGCTAAGTCAAGGCACGGTCAGCGAGTTGCTTAGCAAGCCCAAACCTTGGGACAAGTTAACTGAAAAGGGCCGCGACAGTTATCGGAAGATGCACGGTTGGGCTTGCGACGAGAACGCCGTGCTGCTGCTCAAGTCCCTGATCCCCAAGAAAGGTGAGTACCGATCATCAGTTCCAGCTCTCTCTCTTTCTCTCTCCGTTTCTCACTAATGGTTTTTTTTTTTTATTTCGTTTCGTACAATTTCTCGACGCGTAACGTCTGACACGACGAAGGCTGAAGCGTCTGACGTTTCGATGTCCATAAAGACGGACGAGACATCGTAATTACACATGCCGCTACATTGTAGCGGATACCTGTGGCAATCGTGATTAATTTCACTTCCTTCCACGCCCCATAAGCGTGATAAATCGCGCGTTTACGGTAAAGTTCAGCGTGACCATTCGAAGATGCGCAATCGAATGGTTCGCTATCTTAAGTGTGTAATTACGTTGAATCACATTCCGTCTTCGATCCTTAAGACTTAAACGAGTTGTTCGTCACAATGCACTTCTGCCTTCGTCGTCGACGATGGACTTGTCGATTGACTTGACTCTTGAAAATCTTCCGCCTCGCACTGCCAATAATCCATCTCGCCGAATCACTAACCACGAGCTGTCAGCTAACCTTTCGGCTGCCTAACGCGGGGCCCGATGGTACTTCCGTTCCCTCTAACTGCACCGCGGGAAAGGAACGCTCAAGAGATCGCATCCCTCTTCGTGCACGCGCGAAGTATCATTAGGGAGTTAAGTATGCGTTGGTGACATCGTGAGCTTTTACTATGGTTAGAAGAATGAGACCGATAAATTCTGCAAGTCATCGATAAAAGTCGATTGTAGCAAATGTTCTATGATTTTGCAGAAAGCTGTAATAATTTATAAAATATTATACACGAATAGAATTAGCTAGCTGTAATAGGTTTATTTATGTGTAATTGTGAGATAAAAAGTACTTGGTTACATCGCCATATCGTGTTGTTATTGAAGTCACATTGTACTCAATATCTGATGCAAAAAATGCCGTATCTAGACTTGAACAACTATAGTCTTAATTAAATTACGCAACTCGTTGGCATACCTTGCCCGCTATCGATTGTATGCTGCGTTTGGCAGCCATATTGTTTAGACTAATAGCTCCTGGGAATAGGAAGTCCCGGATGAGCACTGGGTAGGAGTGAGATGTATAAAGGGTGTGTAGAAAGGGAAGAGACGGGAGAAGAAAGGAAGATCCAGTGGAGAACATAGAAATTCTAAACGCGTCAGTCTATACTTATCGCGGAGGGCAATTTACACTTTTCGGTTTGCTGCAGACTTGCTAGATTATTGCGAATAAATGATATTTTATCTTAGCGTCGCTATGAACATTCTCCGATATACTCATAGTAATTAGAAAAATACATTCTATCCTGGGTGATAATAGAGTTATGTTGGGCAAGTATAAGAGTGTAATATCGTAATAAATTTTTTCTTTACGCACTTTATTCACAATATTCTCTCGCGATAGCGACGTGCGTTACAAACTCGCGATACGCGACCGTGCGGTCCCTTCCGCTTTTTTGTAAATATTAATATCAATCGCGCAGGATGTTGACTCAATGCCATCATTTTCCCTTCACGTCCGGTGACGAAATAAAACGTGTATAAAATTCAGCCGGAGCACGACATGCGTCCCGCATCAATGGATTGTCGGTTTCCGTCGGATCTCTGGTAACAACAATCACGGGACATTACAGCGGATAGGACGGAGTGCACGCGAGAGAAGGAGGGACGGAACGGCAACTGGAATGAAGGGTTAGGGCGACGGTAGGGTGGCGGGAGGAAAACCCGTGACAAAAACTTAGGGGATCGTAACATTTCTCGATGCGTCAGCCGTAAAATTACAGGGACGTGTGCGTGTATTATCCCGTGGCGTGAGCACGGCAGTAAATCAGAATTGCAAGAACCACCGCTAATACGATCGTCGAAATTGGTCAAGTAAGCCGTCGAAGGGAAGAGATCGTAACAAGAAACGTCGGTGGTAATTGTTAATCGTATTTTAAATGCAATTTCTTTTTCACATCGTACCACTTCAGGATTTTATTTCAGTTCTAAATTAAGCCGCATTTATATATATAGCCCGTTAGTGTATTAAAACAACTAAGGCATATCATGTTACTGCAATATATAAAATAATTTATAGATGCTATATGAATCAAGTTCCTTTAGATTTAAAAATAGTTATGGTCAGTTGAATATTTAAAATCTGTATTAAAAATGTAGCACACCATCAGCAATACGTTTCTTTAGTCGTCAAATTAATCATTCACCGCGGCCGTTTGTTCGTATGAATCATGGTCATAAGCTCTTTGTGATCGTAACGAGAATCCGCCGCGGTTCAATAGCATAAATATACTTGGAGTAATATCCGAAACTTCTATAATCAGGCGTGATTTATGGGCAAAAATCAGTGGCTTTATAAAGCCTGAAAGGCGCCGCCTAGCTTTGGTGGAGGTGTCGGTTAAGATAAGTTTACGTCGGGCTAAATACCTGATCTAACGACTCATCACGGGCTACATAGACAAGCACAGGCGGCGGAACACCAACCTGTCGCTGAAAGCTTTATTGTGATTTGTGAATCGACTTTGCGGTCACCTTATTTATCATTCGTACGTTTGAAAACCATTACCATTATATGTATAATATGCTATTGATTTCGAGTCGAAATAATTTTGTATTAGTTCACGATTTTCGTTGGAAACATCACACACACACACACATTCACACACGCAAAGTCTATCCTTCGATATCACGTAAATCGTGCACATATCGCGTATCAAATAAAAAGCTCTATAGTCTCTATAGTCTGCTTCACGCGATATTCGTTAATCTTTACCCTCATACTTATTTATGAATGCTGCAATTTTAACGAAAATTTACTCGCATCGAGGCTACTATAGCGCTGACAATGAATTTATTCGCGTGTAGTTCAGGGTGAGATGATTTAATCTAGTTAATGTTGCCTCGAGTCCTCGGGATTTCGATGGCCTAAATCACGACTAACATAAACACAGATATCTTTTAGTCAGTTGCTTAAGGTAAGCCACAAAAATCGCGCGTTCGTGGAAACTACTAATCCCACGACAAACGTATCTGGATCTTGGCCCACTATTCAGCACGGCACGTCTGAGCAATATATTATTGCTCGCGCGGAGCGCTACAACACAATTGATCTAAACGCGCAACCAAGAACAACGCATAGCGAGATTACCGTAATAAACATAGTTGGTCTAGCTCCAAGTCAGTTTATTGCAAGATTTTGTTTCCTGCAGTGGTGTGTGCGCACGTTGCGCACGCGCGATCTCACCGGAGACTTTTCGCGGCGTGACGACTGTTATAGGCGAAAATCATGGTTGCGATGATTTGTAATCGCAGTAAAAAACGTTATGAGCCATCTTTACAGTCGTATAACTATGATTTCCATGAGCGACAAGATGTCCGTGCTTTTATAACTGATGTAATTATCGCACTTTATGGAGAAGCAGATTTTTCGTTGTTTCCAATTTATAATTAGCGATGTTTAAAAAGAAGCTTGACTAACTTAAAATATACATAGAGAATAATACCAAATCCAGAAAAGCGTTCACCCAACGATCGCGATTATAAAAGTATTTTATCTACGTACGTTGACCCGATCCAAAAGAGAGATAACATTATCGAAGTGCGACAGCGATTTCAAAACTCATGTAATATTTACGCGTGGCAATATCAGAACTACATATATACTCACATATACACTAAATAAAAATTACGCGACTCACAGAGGTCATCTGACTCTCTGCTGTTCGTTAGATCTTTATATTATAATCTTTATAGGAAAATTACTTATATTATTTACGAAGATACATGAAGCTTTTTCAGGCAATTTTTTTAATCATATAATTATAAATTATATTTTTATATGTATCTAAACATGTACATACAGACTGAATTAGTCGAATTGATACTTACTAGTGAAAAAGTCGTTTTTCATGATCATAAGTCTGTGTATTATATATGAATTACATACGTACTTGAAATTATAGTATCGCAGGATTTTCTTTTATGATTTTTCTTATTTTTTATAAGTCAGGTACCAGAGACATTCGAGTGTTTATACTAAATAAAAATAAATATAAAAATTAATTTGTTTTGAATCACTGGCGATCTCCGAGTTCGGAACTGATACGATTTAAAGTCGGAACGGTTCTTTGGCCACAAACGCGCGCGCCCGATTATTCTTTAACTGTTCGGAGAAGGAACCGACGTGATGATGTCTCGCGGACATCGTATATCTCACCGTTAGTTAAACAAACTGTTGTACGCAACAGCATGCTTCCACCCACAAAAGTAACGAGGAAAATACTTCTTGTATACAGGTGCGCGCACAGGTGCACGCGAACGGCTGCAGAACGCAACGCTTCCAACTGTATCCCGCGCGAACAAGTTTCGTTCATTAGCTCCACCTTGCGCGCCGATTTTATCGGATCTTATGCACCGCTCGTATCCTTCCACATCTTGACGCCTCGCCGCGGCAAGATACGTAATGCGCACACGATCCCCCATCAGGATTTTCGGATGCAAACGCGCCTTCGTTCTTAACGATGATGCAAACGAGGATTCCGTGTAAATGTGATCGTAAGTTCGCCGATAGTATCTAGATTCCCCTCGGGATAGATTCTTTGAACTTGGTACTTGAAGGGGCTGCCTACGCAGCATCGCATTTCGTTACTTATTTTATGTCTTAAGAATTTCGCCGTGTCGCTAGTTAAATTACTCAATAGTTGCTCAATCGACATTCTGCCAGGTATTTAAGAACATTTAGATGCAGTGCACAAGATGATTGGGACGCGCACGGGAAGATGCGAACAAATATATGTATATACTTGTCCTGTTTATCTCTGAATTACTCTGAAATAATATCACGGTGAACACGTTCATTGTGAAGTACTGACCGCTCGGCGAATTAGCATATCGCGGACGACTCACGAAATATTCATTCCTTTTTAATGAGCATCGAGCTAATTGAATTTATTGAAATTATTGAATGTATTTACCTCGACGATGTTACTTAAATATCATATAACAGTATATATATGCAACGTTCTCAATTTCCACCGTGTAAACGTGCCAATTTTACGAAGAAGTCTAGCTGACGCGAGGATCGTCGTGTGTCTCGATTTCCATACGCGGCGCATGCACGCGCGTTCTCCACAAATCCCCGCGTGCGATCGCGAATCGCGACGCGTAGCGTTCGGAAGCATCGTAACCCGTAACTCGCATTCGCTCCCGCAACAATCGGGTGAATTTCTTAAGTCACTGTTACCGGCGAGCTCCCACGAAATCGTTCTAGATTTTGTAATCAGAATCCATTGTCGACGTTTCTCCCTTATTTCGCGCCGCGTGCGCGCTTGTGTGTGCGCGGGTCGCGTCGCGTGCACGTGCATGCGTCGAGACAATTTTACGGCGCGAATATAATTGCCGGCGGTACGGTTTCCTTTCCGGTGAAACACGCACGAGCACGCGTACGCGTACGCGAACATTTCCTTCGCGCGTCATCGTCGCGCCCATTGTGTACTGCGAACGGACGCGATTGTTCTCTCTTTCGTCGATTCTCCGTAACCGGTCTTTGATGCCGCGACGCGATCGGGACGCACGTCGACCGTGACGTTTCGCCATCCGCAGGTGAGACGAAGGTGCCAGCGGCGGGTGTGCAATCGCTGAGAAAAGTATGGATTTAGTGCGCAAAAGCTTGTAACAATGCGGGACATGCCGCGACATTGCGTAAAGCAACCGGGCCATTTTCCAAGCGACTTTATCCCGCCATTGAGATTTTTCAAACCGTGAGAAATTAACGCATGTGTGAGCGATCGAAGTAGCGATGAGATGAAAATCTTTTATCATCCAACTGTTGAGAATTATACAATGTACTCACGCGATATTTTTCGGAGTAATACGTCTGATTTTAACGCCTTTCCCGCCATAATGTAACATCTTTCATAATTTGACGAAATACTATTACTAAATTTAATTTCATCAAAATTTACCGACACCTACAATACACATGCTACACGCGCATACTTGCCGCGGAACGCGCAAATCAACGCTGCGAGCGCCTAAAAAGTAGCACAAGTTGATTCGCGATTAAGCAAACCTGTGAAAATACCTTTTAATTGAGAGAAACATTGAGAAATTGCGGCGATACCGTTCATTGTATCCGGACTGATGAGAGTGTCTGCGGATACATGCGCGACAAGTAAAGAATTGCGCTCGTTGTCGTTGTATGTTTACACGCGGCGCCGTAAGGTATCGTCCACGATCGCGTTCGTCCGATAATATTTGTTGCTCGACTACTTATATTCTAGATTTTCTATGAGAAAGTTGCGCGGGAGAATGTTGGTTCTCGAATGTAATAATCAACTAGCGCACACGATTCCGTACACGATGCGCGTAAGGTTTCCCATGTGATGCCGAAGTACCCGCAGAAAGGAAGATGTTATAGTGACGCAAGTAACTCATCTCTCACCGTCAGTTTCTAACAAGACTGAACTACGTTGTCGTGTGGCAGCATTTGGTTTGCACGATAATGGTACAGAGCGGAAAATTCAAAGTGCTATATATCAAAATTAATTATCTTCAATAAATAAGATTGTTATTAGGCACGTTAGATACAGCAACTATCGTGAGCTACCGGCGATAAAATTCATATATTTCAACCTTTAGGATTAATCAAGGCCACGTAACATGATTCCTTGAATGGAGCGTAAAATATTGCCATTACGCAATTCAAAGGATATATACCGTTCGATAATGATGACGTTGATTTCGGGATCGCAGATGGTCTACCCACAGAAAAGATGTATGTAATAGTGACCTCATTTCTTTTATCTCGGTATACCCGCAAACATCATTACATATATATAACGTAATCGTTACATATATGCTTCTCCGAATTCAGCGATAAAATTAGTGATATAACAATGCATATTTATAATATGATAAAAATTTATAACATTTGTCCATGAGCAATCCTTCTGACACATTTCTAATTACGTTTGCCAAGATTATTTTATGTCGGTCATCGCGGTATCTACCAATTTCTCACTTTATAAATACTTCATTAATAGCATCTGATCCTAACAGATCCAGAATCTGGTGTATGAAGGAACTTTTGTTAGTTCTATATGTATATCTATAGGCGCATGAAGAGAGCAGAAGCATAATCACGCAAGCACGAGTTTGTTGGCAGGAATTCAAACGTTGCGACAATGCGCGATCGCGCGGATATGCATATACGTCATCGTTCTCTCTTTTCCCGATTTCACTTGAATGTTTCGAACCACCCACCTGGTTGTCAATTGCACGGACATTTCGCTATCGTTATCTTAATCGGCAAGTCTGTCGATTTCTTCTGACACAGGTATACCTACTTATCTATCAGCGTTAGAGCGTATAATAAGATGGAATGCGACTTACACGGATTATCGCAAGGGAAGTTGAATTTCCCGTGGAGGATGCATGCTATACGATACTCTAATACAGAGAAGCGATGAAAAAGAGACTTTATTCTTCTTCTTAATGCGGTACTCGCCGCGGACGTTGCGATTGCTCATGGCATTAGAAGTAATCATATCTACATAACACAAATGATACAAGATAATGATACAAAACGTGGCTCTCGAATCGCGTCTGGATAAGAATCGTTCACTGCATTCGCAATCGTGGAAATACAGTAGATTCCACGAACGCACGTTTAAGTAAGGAACATCATATCTTGATGGACAAATCACCCGAAGATTATTTCTTCTATACCCGTCAAAATACGTACGGCCTTCTTACGCCGTGTGTCAAGCCACTTTCTCTCGCCGATTCGCGTGCGATGCTCGTGAGAGCAATCAAAGACACGATCGGTGGTTCGTTCATCTGAATCTTGCAGCTGATTGGTCAATTAGACGGGAAACACGTAGGAGGGACTACACTCCTACCGACGTGCAGGGGGAAGACCACAAGGGAGAGAGTTCAGAAGAGGATATTTTAATTATCGTCGTTGAGTATACTTCGCCTTCGGGTTCAGCACGCAGTTATCGATTGCGCGCGTTATTAATTACTTAGGAACATAAAATCATCCTCCAAATATGACTCATTATTATATAGATTACTATATTTTCGAATAAACATTCTTCGTTAAAAAAATGAATGTGGTTTGTAAAATCAATTTGAGATTTTACAACAATATATAAATCACGTTACATGGTATTAAATAAAGAACATCATTTCTTGAGATATAGAATGATCTCAACAGAAGAAAATGTGCGAAAATAGCAAATAGCACTGCTATCACTCAAAAGTCAGTCAAACAACGCGTCGCGAATTATTTGTGTTTTTCACTTTAAGTTTATTTTTATGTGTATCTAATTATATATTTCTTAAGATCAACCAAACTGAGTAAGAATACACCACAAGTTGTGCCTCACCCGTAGAGTATGTTTCAGGCAAGGAGCAAGGAATGCCAGCATTCGCACGTGGACCACAGGATGGTGGTCCACAGGAAATGAATGACGAAAGATTGGCACATATTCTCTCGGAATCGGGCCATATGCAAATGCGAGGTGAGCACGAGGTATCGAACGACGCTGACAGCAAGAGTCCGAGTAGACTCGGTTGCCCGAGTCCGTTCAACAAAGACAGATTGGACAGCCAAAATAGGAGACTGAAGAAGTACGAAAACGACGACATTCCCCAGGAGAAGGTGGTAAGGATTTACCAAGAAGAATTGGCCAAGCTGATGGGCACGAGAGTGGAAAATCTTCGTCCGCGAGAGTTCCCTAGGTAAGATCACGATTAATGACATGGATTTGCTTGCCGACGTTTATATCGCAATTCACCCGAATGACACACAATCTCTTCCGATGCACGATGATGACTAAACGCATGACACACACGACCGAATTAATGTCTTATACTTACTCGGACATTGTGGCACGAAATGTCAAGAGCAAATCGTTATTTCGTGATAAAAAAAACCTTATTTGAGTGGTGCAAATTTCTATGTCTCTACCTAACTCTAATAAAAATACTCCATGTAATAGAATATGATGACCTACATGTATCTCGATTGCAATTGGAAAAAAATTTTCTTTTCTGTGCGACATGTAATTTAAAGTTGATGGATGTATCGTACATTATTTATGTACGATTGCGTTTACCGCGATTGATCATTATTGAGGACAGCACACGACCTCGATTGACCGTAGCGCGATCTTTCCGCATTTTTTCAGTGGTACCCAGGGCGGTCTTCAAGGCATCGAGCGCACCCAGGAAGACATTCGACTAGCATTGGATGCTTATCACCGTGAGCTCCAAAAATTGAATACCGCACCAGGTCAGAATCCCTCGATGGCCGGATTGCCGGGATTGCCTGGACTACCAGGTTTGCTGGCACTTCAACAGCAAGCTCTTCAACAACACCACTTAGCCGCGAATGGCGGCGGCGGTGTTCAGGACTTGAGTTTAGGCAAAGTGGATCCGCGCAATAAAATGATAAACGGTGTGTCGGAAGAAGAAAAAGAGAAGATGGAAGAGGCGATGAGACACGCCGGAAGTGCATTCTCTTTAGTGAGGCCGAAGCAGGAATCGACGGGTCCTCAATCAACGCCCGGCGGTTCCAGCGCGAGTTCACCCCTTGGCAATTCCATACTTCCCCCCGCGATGACACCCAACGAGGAATTCTCTAGTGCAGCGGCAGCCAGCCCTCTTCAGAGAATGGCCTCTATCACGAACAGTCTGATAAGTCAACCGTCCACCCCAACTCATCATTCGGCCAATCAAAGACCGCTGAAAGCCGTGCTTCCTCCGATTACCCAGCAGCAGTTCGACCTGTACAATAATCTTAACACGGAAGATATTGTAAAGAGGGTAAGCGCGATTGTAAGCGTGATTCAAGTAATCATACCAAGCGTCAATTTATTGTTTGTGTTACATATATCTAATTTTGAATATTTCTAATCCACAGGTGAAGGAACAGCTGTCTCAGTATTCGATTTCACAGCGGCTATTCGGCGAATCAGTATTGGGTCTATCTCAGGGATCAGTGTCAGACCTCCTCGCGCGTCCAAAACCATGGCACATGCTGACCCAAAAGGGTCGTGAGCCCTTTATCCGGATGAAGATGTTCCTCGAAGATGACAACGCGGTGCACAAGCTCGTCGCCAGCCAGTACAAGATCGCACCGGAGAAGCTAATGAGGACCGGCGGCTACGGCGGCCTGCCTCGTAAGTTTAACTCAGGTCAATATAGATGTTTTGTTACTTTATTATCAATGTAGTTCGGGAGCTCTGATATGTCTGACGAACACGACGTCACGATAACGTGTATTTTGTTACAACAAAAAAAACTTTAAACAAGCATGACATCTTTGCAACATATTGTAAGATTCCTTCATCGATTGAAAACGGAGTAATTGTTTATTGTATTTCGTTTACTCCAGTAAGCAGTAATGCACCCCAATACCGTTTGTCTCTGATTTTTTGGCGAGTTTATTTTTTACGATAACGTGCTCCGGAATCACTCGTAATGGAGCCTTTGTCAGGTGCTCACTAGATAGTGAGACACGGTAGCCGTTAGTTTGGTTGAGACTGCGGTATTCAGTGTTAAGGCTTAAAAGATAAATCTTTCGCGAATCGTGAATTTCTGTGTTAGTGTAACCGGTACGAAGGGACATAAATGAATTTTGTAACGAATGTGCACGCCAAGTTGAACTATAACTCAATTTCTCATCCTTCAATTAAATATTATAAACTAAACTTCGAAACTCATTCAAACAATCGGCTCTTCCTTACATATCACTCTAATACTTTATCAAAGACCTTACAATATATGCAACTTCTTTACTTTATTGCAGAATGAGTTGAAAATTGTATTGATATGATCTTTGATAGAAATAAATGGACAAAGACTTGCATTGTTTGACGTCCGTAGGAGACGAGCTTTCGGACTATCAAATTTTGTTTAAAACTCCTGAATTTTCTTGATCGAATTTCTTATTGTTACAGCTTGTGGAACACCTATGAAACCTATGCCGCCAACGAAACTCGTCCAAGAACAGCTTCAGAACGCAGCGAAGGCGCAGGCCGCCGCTCAAGCAGCTGCGCAAGCAGCGGCGCAACAGCATCAGCAGGAGAGTCAGATGCAGCTCGGCCCACCACAACAAAGTCCTCAGCATCCGCAGCTTCCGCAGCATCCTCAGCCACCACCACCGATGATGTTGACCCCGCCCGGACCTCATCATCCTCATACTCAGCTCAGCATGCAAGAACTTCAAAAGAAACAACAGCAGCAGCAGCAACAAATGTCACTACACTCGCCGCATCATCAAATGGCACCGTCGCCACTTCGAAGTCTTCATCCGCACATTTCACCAAGCGTATACGAGATGGCCGCCCTTACGCAGGATCTCGACACACAGACAATCACAACGAAGATCAAGGAAGCGTTACTGGCTAACAACATCGGCCAAAAGATCTTTGGTGAAGCAGTTCTCGGTCTGTCGCAAGGCTCCGTCAGTGAGCTACTGAGCAAACCGAAACCATGGCATATGCTCAGTATAAAAGGTCGGGAGCCTTTCATTAGAATGCAACTTTGGCTGTCAGACGCACACAACGTCGACCGACTGCAGGCGTTGAAGAACGAACGACGAGAGGCGAACAAGAGACGACGTAGCAGCGGTCCCGGTCACGACAACAGTTCCGACACTTCGAGTAACGACACGGCCGAGTTCTATCACGCGGCATCACCTGGTCCGGGACCCACTACCGGGAAGAAGCAGCGCGTTCTTTTTTCGGAAGAACAGAAGGAAGCTCTCAGACTCGCATTCGCCTTGGATCCGTATCCCAATGTGGCCACCATCGAATTCCTTGCCGGTGAACTCGCCCTATCTTCGAGGACGATAACAAACTGGTTTCACAATCATCGAATGAGACTGAAGCAACAGACGCCGCACGGTCAACCGGAGCCGCAATCGCCACGAGAACCCGGTCAACCGTTCGACCCTGTTCAATTCAGATTGTTATTGAACCAAAGACTGTTGGAGATTCAAAAGGAGAGACTGGGTTTAGGAAATGTACCTTTACCTTACTCTCCGTACTTTAATCCTAACCTGGCGGCCCTGGTAGGTAATGCATTGAAGGAACAATGTTCTGGCCTTGACCTCTCCATGAATGCTCTGAAGCGAGAGCCCAATCAAGAATTCGAGGACGAGGACGTCGAGGACGCGATGAGTAATCTAGGTAGCGAGGATTCGGAAGGTTCGGCCGGCAGTATAAAGAGGGAACCCACAGAAACACCGACGGCACCCACGACGGCCAGGTCCAATAGAAGAAAACCCGCGGCACCACAATGGGTGAATCCAGAGTGGCAAGAACCAACGAGAACGGGCGACGAAGTTATCATCAATGGCGTTTGCGTGATGCAGACGGACGATTACGGAGTAAAGAGAGAGGCCGAGGAAACTGTAAGAGTCGAGCCGACACCAGTGCAGGATCGATACGAAGAGGATGCTCAGAGCGATGTCTCTTCCGTGTCGGGCAACAATGGGGCCGATCGGGATAGCCCGCTTCCTAGTCCAAAGTCTGGTCAGAACAGTCCAACGACGTCGCTCAGACCGCCGTCGGCGCAACAGACGCAACAGTCCACGGAAGAAAGTCCGAAGGACGTGGTGAAACACGAACCAGAGGAAACGTGGGATTACTAGGACAATTCGAGGCACAAAATTCCATGGGATTACGCGCGAGCTCGATGTTTTTTCTTCGGACAAAGTCGAAACTCGAGCGGAATGTCCAACGTGTTTCCAGGGTCGTATTGTTGAGATATGCCAAAACGCTTTGTAAGAAAAGACGTTCCGCAAGGATCACCGATCTAGTTAAGTTTTAAATGAGAAAACCAGCTATAGGACTCGATCGTGCGAGTCCTGCCTACCACGAGGGCATTATCATAGTGAGGCGAACGCAAAGAATCTAGGAAGGTGTCATCGGAGAGGAAACAAGAGGATATCTTGGTCGACGGACCAGCGCCAGGAGAACAAAACGATCAAAACTGAACGGAGCTCAATCAAAAGGACTCACATTGACATTTTCTATGCGGCAAGTGTTACGAGATCAGTGTCGGTGCGCGCGGGCCAATGGCGAGATCGTATCATTTAGAGGAACTGTGAAGTACAACGAGGCCGGCTGTGGAAGGACGACGGGCTCTCGTTGCAATTCGCTCGAAATTCGAGAGAACCCCGGCCGCTTTCGCTTTTGGATGACACTCCCCCTCCCGATGATGGATGATTGATGGGATATCATTCCAGCGGAGGGGAGAGACTAGGAGCGGACTAGATAATGCACGGAAAACGGAGGTGGTCCGGGTTCGTCACAGTGCAATCTCCCAGTAACTAATTGTTAGATCGAATTATTATTAATTTTTAAACGAAAATTACGCGCGACGGAACGGCCGATTAATAATTATTGCATAATTGTGATTCATGTTATTGTTTATACTCGCCTCCCTATATCCCCCATAGCGATTAAGCTGTTAATGTTGTATACTCCTCTCTCTATCTCCAGTTACGTACCTTTTTATCTCTTTCGGTTAAGACTCGACGTTTTCCTCTCTCTTTTCCTACCTTTTGCTTACCCGTCTATTTATAAAACTGCGAGGAGAATGATCACTTAAGACCGTTACCAATGTTATTATTATCACTGCTATTATATATAATTACAAATTATTAATATTATTATTAAATAATTATAATTATCATTATTGAATAATCTCAGTTGACAAGAGCACTGTCATCGATTACTATTTTTACGTTGATATGTTGAACGGCGTTGCAGAATGTAAAATACCAAAAAAGAAGTAAATTTATTCGTTCCACGAGATGATTATTTAAACTTCCTTTTTCTATTTGTTGGAAACTATTAGCTGCGCTAAAATAATTGGTGATGAATATATCTTTGACGATTATTATTTAATATTCTTTTGATTATTATTATTGTATTATATTTATATTATTGTATTATTAGGCTTATGTTATCATTACTATTATTATTTTCATTATTATATCAATAATCATTATTATTTTATTATTATTAGAATCATTGTCGTGACAACAATGTGGCTTGTAAAGCCAATGTGATAGAGCTTATATTGCGATGATGCATAAAGAGAAAGAGCGCGTGCGAGCAAAAGACGAACAGGCACGCCGATTTCACAGAACGAGGCGAGAGATTGCGCGAATTTATCGTGCGATTTTTAGCATATGTAAATATCTCTGTACAAAGATAAAGAATGGAAGAAACTTCGGAATACGAAAACAAAGAACTACATACATGCATACATACACACATATACATATACACATACAGGTACACGCACGTATATAAACACAATACGATCTTGTATATTTACTTACTTACCACACTTAACTATCTAATAGCGTACGAATATATCCACACGCAGACTAACAGCGGTACACATTGAGCGACTGCACGCTGAATTTTCACTTGTCGCGGACGGTAAGGATGAAGTTGCGTAATCAGTGACGAACGATGAGATAAGAGAAGAAAGAGAATTGAGCCATGTGTTTCAATAACCACTCGTCGCGATCCGTGAAAATGCAGCGTTCGGTTTATTATAAGCGGCGCAAAAGGAGAACACGTAATTATGAGAATTTGCCGTAAATTAATCGATGCCTAGAGGGAGGGAAAAATGCGCAGAATAGAAGATACTTCGAGGCGATTCAGCGAGACATTAAGAGCGAAAGGACGAGTGAACGAATGAGTGAACATGTGCGTGCGTGATGAACTTCGTAAGAGAGAGAAAGAGAGACAGTCCTCGAATTATTACGAATCAAACTATAGTATTTACCAGAATAAATTTTAATCTTCAATTAAATTCTAGTCCGCAATTAAAAATATAAAAAAAAAGGAAACAAACGTGAATGATATTGCATGACACGAGGCAGAGACGCAAGGAATTCGTGCGAGACGATCGCTTTAGAAGGGCATTGCTAAACGAGAGACCAGTGATCGATGGATTCTGTTTTTCCCCATTCCCCAACCTTGATTCTCGATTCTTTTTAAAGTTTTTCATGAATCGTCACAACGGAAGTCGATCGGACCGGATTATCGAATGTACATATTGCTATACTCATGCGATTACATCTCGTAACTTAATGACGCTGATTCCGCCTGTCGACGAGTGATCCTGAGTCTTACCGAGTAGCCTGACGATCAACGAGAATGTGAACGATCGTGGCAGACGAGATCACGACAAAGACATCCGTATTTCATCGATCGTCTATAAGTCTACGATAGTAAAAGCTCTGGATGCGAGCAGGTTACGATGAAGCAGGGAGAAAAAGAACAAACGTGCGATCTCACATCTTCGAATACCAAACTAAATTATTTCGCTCGAGCATTAGTCTAATATTCATCCTTATACGATTTGTCAACTTGGGTTAACTGTACGACTGACGCGGCATCCGCCAATCGCAAATCCGTAGATAATCGTCGATTCTCACGACGGAGGAGTCGAACGCGAGCTTGTTTTCTTAGGATTTATTACAGGTACAACAATAATGCGACTCGTGTCGACGATCGGATTTTAGGCCGCATTCGCGGCCGAAGCTCGACGGATAGGCGCCTTACGATTTATTATATATGTTATACATTATGATTGTTTCCCTGTTCTTCGTTCGCGGCGGACAAGTGTAACGCATAGATTCTTTGTAGATACAGGATAGCCGGTAGATAGCCGATTAGCTTTAATTATTTAAACAGTACAGCTTTTATGTCGAGAGCAAAGATCGACGACCGTCTATGGTGTACGGCGGACATGTAATATAACGTAACGAATACACAAGGGCATAATTGCGTGCGGATGCGTTAGCGTTATCGACAACGGCGGGAAGGAGGGAAATCATATCGTAAAACCTAATAATATTTTACAACAAAAGGTAACTGTAGATAGACATTTAAAAGCTGTTGAGGCCCCCCCCCCAGGACGCGCGAGGGAGAGACGCGCGCGTGTACCGAAACCGCACGCGCGCGGGCATACGATCAAAAAAAAAAGAAAAAAAAAGAAGAGTAAACGAACCACGAAGGACACTGTCATCCAGTAGTGAAAATAATGTATTAAAAAAAAAACAAGAAGGTTTACCTAAAGTAATAGTCTATTGATTTGTATTTCATTTCGAACTGTATTATAGCTTTAAAGAGTATCCTGTACATTGCATAAACACACGAGCACTATTGTTTTAAATTGTACGTTTACGATTATTATACGAAGATAAAAAAGAAATAAATAAGGTATACAAAATATTGAAGATATATGAGAGATTTATTGACGATCTTAACTTATATATAAGGATCTTTAATATCTCCTTTATGCGACTTTACGAAAAATTATATTAAATTATATTATCCATCTCTTCCGTGAGAATTTGAACATTAAGGCGGCTAATTGTTGCTAAATATCAATAACAATAACAATCATCACCGCCTCGGAGACATTGACAGAATAAATTATTGCTACAACTTATTTGGTTTCTTTCTAACTTTGAAATGCTTCTCTTCAAATTTCAAAACTTTAGCTCTTTATCTTCTTGATTAATTTGATATGTGCATGTTTAATAATCACTACTTTTATAGGCAAAAAGAGATTTTTTGGTAATTCATTTTCAGAAAGACAGAATTTCATAATATTTTACTTTTATGTAGCATATAAAACGTGAAGAAGCAACTATGATGGCTTATCTTTGTTTTCTTTCAAATAATATGTTTATTACACAATATATCTATTTCTTGTTTTTCTCTGTAATTTAATACTGGAAAAATATGTAACAAGCGTATAATTGTAAAAATATACATAATAACATGAAGAGACTTGATGTTTCAAACTGTCTTAAGTATTATTACGCTAATTATTCTTGTTATTCTGATTCCCTAGATGAATCTTACATTCTTACCGTTTAAAATTCTCGGAGTAGTTGTTAAACATGCAATAACATACAATTCAACCACGAGATAAATGGAAGATTATCTTCATTGTATATACGCATAAAATTATATTATTCGTATCAATGTTTCCTTTAAAAAGTTTCTAAATTAAAAGCCTGTATATTAAATATTACGCTGCAAATTATTAATCACCCATCTTTTCCCTTTTTTACCGTATTGATCTTGCTTTAATATAGCCTTAATAAATTTTAAACTTTTGACACGAATAAAATTGCTAGAATAACAAAAAATTTTTTTAAACTAATTAAACTGGATATTATTTTTATGGATCTCGCATATTATATGCACATTAAAAAATAGAAAACGAAAATTGGATTTAATGTTTTTATACTAATTTATTGCACTAATTTATTATACTCATTATCGTGCAAATAAAGAAAATAATAAAACACGATGTTCTATTTTTTAACAAAACTGTAGAGAAATTAAAAAATAAATTTGTATTTTATTATCTCGGAATTATTTTGAAATGTTAAACAAACTTTTACTTTTTTTATTAACGTTTGCTGCAGCGGCATCTTACAGCTGAGGAAAGAAGCATGTGATTTCCCACCACAATCACTTACCTTCGATTGCAAATATAAATTTTATGTACGCTTATAATATAAGAAGATATTTTAATCTTCCGATTCTATATTTTATATATGTATAAATATTTATTACATACATTCACACAAAAAAAAACATTCACAAGAGAATGTACTTTATTAAACTTTCGTTAACCGCAGTAGGTACGCGTCTTTAAGATCTCGGTATTGTAGAGCCCTTTAAATAAAATTGCAATTTATATTGTAGAAATGGAGTAAATAATTTTATTATTTACTTGCAAAAATGTAAATTGTAAATGAGAAAACAATCATCAAAGCGCGGCTCTTAATAGTTATACATATATAAAAGAATAACAGTGAAAGTGGCGGATGATATTGTTATTGTTATTGATTAATATAAAGATGTAATAAATGAATTCACTCACCAGTCGTTGTACCCTCGCTAAGTACACCTTTAGCTGTACCTGCACAGAAATTAATGTATTGTAATTAATTTTAATTAATTATATTTCTTGTATGTACTGATTCTTACATATCATTTAATTATTTCCATTTTTATTAAAACGCAGCTGTACGCAATAAATTGTATAAATAATTACTTAAATACTTTTTCATTTATAAATTGATTTTAATTATTTAAATATTTCTCAGTTCCTTTATGACTCAATAAATAATCGCAATCATGTATATGCGTTATCACGATAGCATGCACACATCATACTTAAATAACAAATAGATAATTTTACTCACCAGTTAGGGCATTGCTGTTTACTACATCCGTTGTAAAATCCATCCTGTGGCAATGTCCTTTGTCAGATCCGTCGAGGAAGCGATGAATGCCGGAAACGAGTACTTAATCACGCACTGAACGAACTCCGCAAGTTAACTCGCGCTTTACACTTCGTTTTCGGAATAGCGGAAAAATCGCGAATTCACGCCGCGAGTTCGCCATGGTGCGACATGACACGAAGATAAAATGTACTTTGTTCCACGACGCGTTTCGACATAATTGCAATCAATTATTGACAATAGCGGATTTTTCATCAGACGTAGCAAGTACCTCTCTCGACTCCCGATATTGTATAAGCTAGGTTTCCGAATTAAATTGTATCGAAAAATTTTAAAAATATCAACGTTAGATACGTTTACTAATTACGTTTATGTATATGTATAAAATGCGTAATAGATTTTATTGTAATTGGCACTATCAATATTATACGTTCAATTCTTGCGAGCTATTTATTTTCAATTTAAAGTTTAATATGAATTTAATCCAATAAAAAAAGAAATTTTTATAACCGTAGCTACCATCTCATTAACTATAATTTAACTACTCAATTATTACTGCGTATTTTAATCTGTCTAAAAAAGTATATACAGAGATGGGTAAGAAAAAAAAAGATATTTGATTAATCTTACAAATAATGATCATAAACTCTAATTATTTATATATTCATCTGTAACTAACAGCGTCCAGTACGAAAAATTTATCACGGTCGCTGCCAATTATTATGTCAATATAAGTATTGTTTCAATTAATTCTCATGCATATAATTTTATAAACATAATAAACACATCTACCACTGCAGAAAATCATAATAAACTATAACTACATACAACGAATAACTGCTTAAAGAATATCGTAAGCAGTAATCGCGACTAACAGGGAAAATTATCGCGATCGCTGCCAATAAGTATCGCAAATTTTAATTATCTCATACATATAATTTAGCAATCACAACTATATTATTATAGCAAATAACTACAGAGTGTCTAGCCTGCAAATTAACCATAAGCAGTGATTGCGGCTAAAGTAAAAAATAATCGCGATCACCGTCAATTATTACATGTACAAATACCACCAATTATTATGTAAATATATACTACTAAATTACTACATATATAAATACTGCATATTTTAATTAATTTATGCATAAATAATCGATCCGTAGAAAATTATGGTTATGCTACGGTAGTATAAAATTTATTTTACGGAATTGCAATGTACGTTCACTGTACTACGTTATTAACACGATATATCTATTATTACTACAGTCGCACCGAGCACCGAGTTCGCTTGAGACGGAATTTTTGTTCGTATTACCGACGCGACACACTTTACCCAGTGAGCCTACAATCGCACGGAGTTTACTTGGCGAAATTCTCGTTTTCATGTTATCGACGCGACCAGACGCCGCCACATAGCAAGTGACGCTACGATTGTATGGAGTTTAGTTGACGGATCTGTGGCACATTCGCCGTCTATCGTCTACTTGATCGTCTACCGACGCGATATACTATACTCAGCGGCGAATTTCCCGCTTTACCCGTTAGATACAGTTTATACGCATGATATAATTATCAATGAGCATTAAATTTTGGACATGCTACGTCTAATGAAAAGTACGTTAAACGCGTACTGATTTATCTTAGGGAGACATAAGGGTCATATTCGCGTGCCTACGTCATCGGAATTCGTACTCACTGGAGTATACTACACCGAGAGGCTGCATTTCCTTTGGACACTTTCGTGCTGCGTATTCTATCTTTATTGCACAGTATGTTAAAGAAAGATCGAATACGCTTTCAGCACGAAAACGTTCAAAGAGAATAACGCAGCCCGAATTCAAACCTCACAGTCCAGCGTCGATCACGATCGATGAAACGGCAACGATCACGATGATCCGAGGAAACCGACACATTCCGGCGATCGCCCGTCACTTTAATCGGCACTCCCGATAGAAAGACGGCTATTTAGGCACACTTACCGAGTAAAATTCGCGATTAATTGCGGAGCGCGGACACTTCGTCCGTCCGCTCCGAAAGCACCGCCGAAAGTGTCATGGCGGCCGATCAAGCGCGCCACATCGAATGTTTGAATTAGTGTGACTACTTGAGACAGCGAATCAGAGATCGCGGAGAGAATTAGATGTTTTCTAGGCGCTTTTCAGCAAACTACAATTATCAACAATCTTCTATTTAATTTAATAAAAAGATATAAAAAATAAAAATGATAATGTATATGAGTTATTATTTATGTTATTTGTATGTAAATCTATACTTGATGCTGTCGAAAATGGCAGTTTATTTAATAAAAAATCTGTTTTAATAAAAGTTGTTCTAAATAAATATAAATAAGAATGACAGAAATAAAAGATACTATATGTCTTGCTTGTGTCATTATATGTTCTGATAAGAAAGTATGCGACAAATAATTAATAAAATGGATGAGAAAAGAGCAGGTGTAATGTAACATAGACGTTGTTTCAATGTCTGAAGATTTAATTGACAATATGAAATAATGTATAACCCCAGATCAAAGAATTTATACGAATTTCACCTAAGTTGAACGAATTTCCTAAGAGGAAAGAATTATTTCCATTTCAATGTAATGATGATAAAGAACCGCAAGTTTAATTCGTAAGGAAAGCGCCGTTACTCTGCACACGAGTTTTAAGAGTGAATACCATACCATATACGTATATGTATATTACGTTACGAGCACTAACTGTAATTATTGATACATTAACAATAATATTATCATTATTATCACTTGAATTAGAATTAATTATTTTGGCAACTTACGGTTCGATGGAAATTTAATATATATTTTACATTACCGCGTACGTACGGTTTCAATTATTCTCACCGCAATGTCATATGCAAGTCGTATGCAGTCCATTCTCAATTCTCAATAGCTGAGACATTTTACAAGATTGTTTGCATGTGTCCCGTCTTTTTTGACTTTATAAAAAAATTTATTTATACATATATATATATATATATTTATGAAAGTAAGAAAATACGAAACGACACACTAAGGAATTATTATTGAGAGATAAACGTAAACATATTATTTTAAATTACAAGGTTCTGTCCAACGGGGCTCAGGATCGTTCTTGAGCATGGGAGGGGCAGGGGAGAGTTAAGTTTTTTATAAGAACTATTAATATTAAGGTAATAATCATACAGAGATGATACTTTTCTTTATGTATACGTGTAAATTAATTTTCTTTAGCTGTTTATTATGTAAAAGGTGAATTGCGTGTGTATCTCCTTTATGTTCTCCGTCTCGATGGATTTGGATCGTACGTTGGTGGCGGTGATTTAATAAACATGATAGAGCAGCGTGAGCTTTTCTCTCGCGTTCACACACGCTCTGTCTTGCTTTCTCTCTCTGCATAAGGATGGGTCAGGCTTATTCCGCTTTTAGTGGCACTGTTATCCGTTAGCTTTATACTGAGCGTCGGTATCTTTCTTACAGTGCTTACGGCTTCCCTACATTAATATTACATATGTATATATTGTCAAAACAACCTCGCCAATATTAGGCCTGTTCGTTTTCGCTGCAATTCTGAACTAGTACAATAAGTTAGAATGAAAGAAAATATATTTGTTTCATTCTAACTTATTGCACTAGTTCAGAAGTGCCGCGAAAACGAACAAGCCTATAATTCATATGATCATAAATAATATAAGATAAATTTATTAAATGTGTTATTATTACTAGACATCGGATTTTTTATATGCAAATTGTTGGGAAAGAGCAATTAGTAACTAAGATTTCTTTTCTCTAAGGTTATTTCTAATATCCAATATGTTACAATATGAATATATGTTACAGTATAAATATGTTCAGTATAAATGTTGGATATTATAAATAACTTAAATCTTAGTTTAATTGCTCTTTTCCAATATTCTGCATAAAAATCCGACGTCTAATTATTACATTATTACTTATTTTTGCAAAACTTACCAGAATTAAATAAGTCTTTCCATTTGAATATTTGTTCATCCCCTACAAACACTCCTCTTGGCTTTTTCTCACGCACCTCGCCACCTTTCGCTTAAATTCCGTATAACTTTCCCTCCACTCTTTCTGCAATAAGAGAAACAAAAGTAGATAAGTTATTTATACAAAAAGGAAAAAACACAAAGCACATAATATTTTCTAATATATACAGATACTTACGGCGGCATCCACATTAGCAGGGCTTTCATCGTTAGGATCTGCAAGCATGCTTATAACACTTATCAAGATAGTTTCGACTGTGTGAACTGGTAACCACCGCTCCGACGCTTTCTCATATCCCCATTTGTCATCACCGGGTTCATGCAATATCGATATACACACATCTCCATTTTTGTCGATATTTGGATGCCATATTTCGGTTATAAATTTCATTCTTGGTGGCCTAAGTGGATATTCTTTTGGAAACTGTAAATGTGCTTTGAAGAAACCACCTTCGTACAATGTATCCGGAGGTCCAATAATGAGTACTTCCCACCGGTATATGTCATTGTCGTCTATGAGGCCTGCAGAAAACCCTTCTACTGGGTTTTTATTTAATTCTGTAAGAAAGGAAGAAAATGAGTAAAGACGAAGAAAGAAAGACTGACTATAAAGATTATTTCATAGGTTCTATATTCAAATCATATCTGACGTATTCAACAATGAAAATACATCCGAAAATGTAAACAATAAACTATTACAAGTATGAAATATATTCATATCAGATAACGAGTATCAATTAACAAGTACTAATTGTATTCCATTATTTCAAGATATTTTTTGTCCTAAAAAATGAAAGAATTTAAGTATTTAAAGACTAGCTAAAACTTTAAATTCTAACAGAGTGCTTAACAAATGATATGATTTAATAATAATTAAAATATGAAATAGCAACAATAAGTCAAGATAATACCTATGACAAGAAACCTATGTATAGGTTTTAACAAAAACTATGATAAAACAAGCGCGACATTATCACCAAGTTATAATTAGCTCCGGAGTAATGATTCATATATAATTATCTTCTAAAACAATTTTCACACAACATATACTCCCGAAACACAATAGATTCATTTTGAATGTCGCAGGTCAATCTTCCTTGGGAGAGGACCATCCCCTAGACTCAATACCCGAGAGAGAGAGAGCAAGAAAAAATTCAAAAAAAAAAAAAAAACAGTGAGCTTCTAAATCTCGACCAAACATGAATAATCAAGATCGTGACAAAACTTCTAGCTAATTGTGACGGCAAGTGCAGCTTGCCATCAGATTACAGAGGACATCGTCCAAGTGTCTAGGTTATGTTCCCCGCCAGATAACGGCAACGCGTAAAAAAGGGGGAAAGAGCAGTATTGTCCACGGGGGTAAGCTCATTAGCGCGATGACAGTCGCGCGTGCACGTGCACGCGCACGTGTGCGCGTCAGCTACGACACGTCAATCGCCGCCAGGCAGCGTGTCCGGGACGGGACGCGCGCGCGCGCGCGCGCGGCGTACAGGTTAAGTTCGCCCATGCGAGATCGCCGCTGCACGGGAGGCCGAGCGGTGCGGTGAGTCAGCGCGACGTGCCCCGCGCGAAGGAGACGCTGGAGACGAGGCACGAGGTTACTGACGCGACGACGTTCTTTCTCTCTTTCTCTCTCTATCTCTCTCTCTTTCCTTCTCTCCTCGTCTCGCTCTCGCGCGCGCACGCAGCGCGACTCCGTTCTACGTCGCGGTCGCACAAAGAGAGGCGAAACTCCGAGGCATTTTTCGTGGCGTCGATCTCGTCTGGAACAGGGGAGCATAGCCCGAAGGCGGCTGACCTTCGATGGTCGTTGCACGACGCGCTTTTGCTCGCTCTTTCCTTCCCTTCCCTCTTTCTCCTTCATTCTTTCTTTCTTTCCCTCGCACTCTCTCACTCTCTCTCTCTCCGGCGATTCCGGCTCTCACGCTCGCTCCTCGCGCTCTCTCTCTCGTCCCTATCTGTACGCTGTCTCCCGTTTTCTTTTTTTTCCTCTCAATTTTTACTTTATTTTCTTTCTCTCTCGCTTCGCCGCTCGATGTTTTTTCTCCGTCACGCTCACGAGGAGAGTAACGTGCACACGACGGCGGTGACGCGCGTACGCTATAAATAACAAGGCCTGCAATTATTTTCGGGCACGAGGCGAGAGAGGCGGCCTTCGTTCGGCGACATCGACGTCGTCCTCGTCGTCTCGGCGCGCGACGACGAACCGGCTCCCGTCCGCGACGAGACGGGAGCGGGGACGGAGGTTGGGGAAGAGGGGGAGGGAGATAGCGGGGAAGGGGACAGGGAAACAAGTCAAACTTGGAGATCGCGGCGTGCCGCGGAGGACGACGAGGGTGACGGTGACGTTTACGCCGCCGCCGCTTAGGTTAACGTTTATTCACGGCGCAGCGTACACAGACTCTCTCTCTCTCTCTCTCTCTCTCTCCTCGCGGGAGAGAGAAAGAGAGAGCGTATTGATTTTCACGCCCCGTATCTGAGCGGCGCGGTCACAGCCGAGCCGGCGAGGACGACGTGCGGAGCGCGCCGAGCGTGGCCGCGGTTACCCGCGAGCGCGACGACTCCACGACGTGGACGAGCGCGGCGAGGAGGCCCGTCGCGGGGCGACGTCGGTCGGGCCGCGAGACACGACGGGACGGGCGACGGGCGGCGGAGTCCTTCGTGCGAGAGAGCGCGAGTCACACGACTCCGCGGGGATTACCACGCACGGTCCGCGCTTCGCGCTACCGTCAGACGCACTTAACACTCGCACCGCGCTCACATTGTACCTGCTAATTGTTTCCGTAATAGCAGCGCGGACTGTGGCTCTGACATTAATAAAAGTTCAGTTAAATAAGACTAAGACTGAAAACAATCACTTTTGCTTGACTGGAAAGATGGCTAGGTACGTCGCGGAAGCGGTGACCACGCATGCGCCACTGGCTAAACATATGTTCTTCCGTCCCGAGCACTGCGCCGGTCTGATGCACCGGCGCCGTCGGTGCCACACGCCGCGTGACAATCGATTGAAACTCTGGACAAAGCGACGAACTGTGAATAAAGCAGAGCGCCGATGTTAGCGAGAAACAATCGTGAAGCGAACGGAGCTAAAACTGCGCCGACAAATGGTAAAAGCAGGTATTCAAACTATAATTCCAAACTTCAAAGTAAATATCCGATACACGATAACGAGAATGAAATTCAAGTTCTGGAGGCGTGAAGGGAAACACAATTTAATTAGTTGTGATTATGTTAATTAGAATAATTAATTAGGTTAATGCAAGTAATATGAGACTTAAGTAATCAATTAATATTGCAATCTCTTTTATTGAAATAGAATTATAATTGTGAATTATTATTTTGTTTAAATAGAACTTGCAGTGACCGAAAGTTAATTATATTGTAATTAAACTTAATCATATATAAAATATAATTTTATGAAAATGCGTACAACGTAAAATTTATAAGAGAAAATTGTTTTTATTATATTTTTTAACTTAATATGCATTTTCTCTATTTCAAAATTTTAACAATTACGAAATAATCTTTCAACACGAAAACGTATAGTACAAAAAATAAATAAAGTATATTATAATATATTATTCCCCATATTTTTAAACTTATAACTATAGGTATAAAAATTATAAATGTCTTTTTTTAAGTAAAGGATGTGTGAAATACGATTTTAATACTTTATATTGTATAAATAATGCAAAATATTATTTTAATTTTCAAAATTGGTAATGAATAATCGGGTATTATAATTTTTAATTACATTTAATTACTAAAAAGCTAATTAAAATAAGTGTTTTTGAAATCTGTATTGTAATATAACACAAATGCAGTAATTTTTAAAATAATAAATACTACAGAATACAGAATACTTTACATAATAAATGTAAAATATCTTCTTTCGGAAATTGTGACGAATAAAAAAGTATTTATGCACTCTTAGTTTCTAAAAGAAAGAAAGAGAAAAACTCATACCGCTTATTATACGCAAAAGAATCTACCTATGGTATACGGGAAGAAAGGTAAAAATAGAAATGGAGGAGGATCGACGGTTATGTATCTTTGCTTTCTCAGCAATTTCGCACGGTTACATTCGAGATTTATGGTCCGATTTCGATTCCATTTCGCGCCGCGGTTTGTTTACTTATTGGCATCTAGAATATGTGCGCGGGCTGATGTTACGTCCAGGTTTGTATTGCTTCGATGCTATCATCCAGATTTATCTATTGTGCTATTGAGACGGGACAGCGCGGCGGAATGGAGATGATCACGCGATGCAAAATTCAGACGTCTTTCCATAAATTAACAACATCGAACTCAAATATTCATGAATACTACGATATTTTATGTACTTTGTGTCTTTTATACGGATATTAATGTACGCCTTTTGTATTTCGAACGAATATTTTATAATTAATTTGCAAAAACATTCCAAACATATAAGTTATTATTTTATATATTAATAAGTACTTTTAATACATATTCCTTGATAATTAATTATTATCGAAAATATAATGAATTAATATTTTAAACAAACTTATTGTTAATTAATCAAGTATCTTTGATTCTTGCTAATACTTGTAGAAGTATTCCTTTTTTATTTCTACGGATCACGGTATAGCAAGATTTGATGGTTTAATTTGAGTGTTCTATTGTACTAATTACGAAATCGCTTCTGCTTGTTGAATGGTAATTTAATTTACCGTATCGACCATATCTTACCAATCAATCACGATATATGAATTATTGTTGCACGGTATCTTTCACCGACAGGAACATTTCTATTACCATTATCGTTGCTTCTTAATTACTCCGAACGGCATTCGTATTTATCGCGTGATTAGGCCTTACATCGAATTATACAGAATTACGGCGATAAAAGATGGAAATCATTTTCAATCCGGTTGTATCACTGCATCGATAGGATATTGGCATCTGAAGCATATTGGCTTTAGTACCGTCTGCACGGCAAGTTGTAATCGCGAGCGAGATGTATTGCCCGGAGAAATTCACCTTTGCGTTAAGATGAATAATATTTTCGTGTATTTTAACAAATATAACGCACGTAATTATAAATATATATAATAAAATTCACGATTTTTATGTTTAAAGCGGTTGATGTTCAGTGTAATATATATATAAATCCATATCTTCAAATTCTTTACTTTTCAAATAATACTATTTTTTTTTTTTTAATTGAAGAAGAATTAAAAATACTTTATTTCTTAATCTTCTTGGCAATATATTTGCGACAAGAGTTAGTGGTGTCGTATTGGTGGTAAGATAAGGTATGTGCGAGTGAATGAGTGGAACGAATAAAGATTAACGATTAGACACAGATCGTTACACCGACGCATGATATTGTTGAAGATCAAAAGGTTGATTAGTTTATTCTAACGTACAACATAAAAATCAATCAGGCAAATTTTCATCACGGTCAATATATATGTATACCAACAGAAATTAAGAGCTATTGAAAGTTAGGATTTCAAAGAAAGTTTACGTATAACTGACGTTTGCGCATCATATAATGTAAGAGGATACTAAAATATATATACCGTACATAAAGAGACACTAAGGTAGTATGCACAGACTACAGAATAAGAGGACTGACTGAGATTTTTGATGTCTTCTTTATTATCTCCTATCGTAGGATACATTGCTTGACAAATGATTATACAGACGTACAATACCCAGCAAATCGTTCGCTTTGTATTTTACAATTTCGTCGGCCAATACTCCGCACCTCGTTCGCCCTCATAGCTATTTACAGAATATAATATAAGACTTTTAGTTTCGGTATATAACGTGGAATCTGAGAGACGATAGTATGTCCACCGTGTGTGTGTACGCCTATATATGTGCCCTTCTGACATCAGTTCTCCCTGCATATATTTCGGATATTTCTTAAATAATCGATTTCTTTAAAAAACATTTTGAACACGGTAAAAATTATGCGTTATTTTTAGCATCGTCAGACCTTATCAAGACGGAAATCTTAAACTTCGTTACAGATGCTTGTGTATCTTCCAGGAATGTATGATCGTCGGAAAAAAAATGAGTTCATAAGCGAACCTCGGAAAACTTTAACTATGATTAATTCGCGGACACAGCAGGTCGCTTATAAGCGTATAGAAAACTTTGTTTTGATCGACGATGCGCCCGAAGTTTAGAGAATCAGACATTTATTAAGATTTCCTCTGCTCGCGCAAAGAATTATTGAGATGATTTATGAGCAGAACATGGAAAGGATTACTGTCGCATTGTACGTTACTTAGCAAACATCTTATATTTTTCTTTTCCAGAATTTCTGACAACAGTTTACAAATTTCGAAATTATTTATTCACTTAAAGCTTTTTGTAAATGAGATACCACCGTTAATTTTCCAAGAAAACGATTATTTATTGCAATATCTTTAGACGAACTCGATTATTTTGCTTTCTGATGTGTGTATGCTCTATTTAGAAAATAAAAGTGTATCTTATATAAAGTCTTTTTACGTACATCTTTAACGTAAAACAACAAGAAGAATGAATATTCCTTAAATTCTATTAACGATAAAATCTCAAACACATGAATAAAATCCACCCAAATCCAACACGGACATTTCTTGCATATTTGCAACATTTAATTTCCTCTCACATTGACAAATTAAATAAGTTGATATCAATCGATATTACGATAATGGAAAATTTCCCAAGTTATTTGTTGTCCAATAACAAGATCTAACAAGATTTTTTCCACATTCAATCTATTACATTCTAGGACAATATCGTATTTACAACCGTGAGCTTCAATGAAAGCGATCGACAAGCGAGTCATGACGAATACGACTCGAAATAACTGGACTTGACATTCTAACAATAAATACTAATATAATGTTATCGTACAATCATATATTGATGCTATGTACAAGTAATATTTCATTAACGTCATCGGCATGTATCGGTATACTCACTTTATGAAACAAAGGGCTTGCAGGTTATTCGATTAAGTTATGCGTTTTCTTATTAAAAATGGCATAATTAAATGCATAAATTAAAAAATGCACTTTTTATTTTACTTTAACATGACAGTAACTTAATAAACAGTCATAAATTTGTTATAATGAGATGGAACAAAAATACATCAGAAATATGGATTTAGTAATACGCTTGATTACATTTAATATCAATTTGTGCTAAAATATTACATTATTACTGACGGCACATTTTTGTAAGACTTGCAATGTAGGACGGCAGGAGCAAATCTCGTTAATTCATTAATTACGAAAATTGAAATATCGTCAGGATATTGTTGCAACTCAGATACTTATAAATGAGATTTTACTTCTGAGATATCTCTCTTCCGAGATTTCCTCTCCTGCAATTTCTCCTTGATGGTTCGCTTCAGTGGTAACGATAATGATTCCTCTGGATAGCAAACACTTATTTATCTTAATGTTTGCCTTAAACTGAAATAAATACATAAATAATTATTTTATTTTTATGAAGAAATGTTATTAAATAATTTTTCACTGAGGATGTTCGAGCTATGAGGATAGGAACGAAATAAAACGAGATAAAAATGAATAAGTTAGAAGTAAGCACATTGATCAAATATTGCTAACTTTGTGCAAAGTGAGTTTGCTTTAATTTAGTAGTACTTTACTCAGGTCCTATGAAATGATAGTAGCCAGAAGTAGCAAGATCACTAATTGCCCTCGGTAGAAGCGCAATTGAGTATCAAGAGACATAGATTCGACTTTCTGAAGTTTTCGAAAACTCGACGGCTCACAGGCTGATTCACTCACAGAATGAATATGTAAGGCGACAGCAGAAAACCATTAATTCCATTAAGTCGGCTGTTGGAAGGTCGGGCAGGATTTGCTTTTCTTCCTCTTTTTTTTTCCCCCAAGGTTGAAACGCACCGATGAGGCTGAATCCCGTGGCGTTTGACTTTCATTGGATATTTCTCGTGCAAAATTGTCGCGCTAAAGTTTCGTGTCGACCATCGAGAGCTTTGAACTCGGTTATATTTCCCTGGAGTACGACAGAGGAAACCGGAACGTAAGGGCGAAAGATGAGGAGCTACATAGGAAAGAAAATCCTGTGAAAGGAGAGAAGCCGACCTGGACTTTTGCCGCGTTGGGACCTCATCCTGGACTCATAGACGGCGTTATATATGGACATAAAAAAATTGCCAGCCACAATCTGCTATATATTGTAACGGTAATTATACTAATCTGGAAAAATAAGGTCGTTTTCTTTTGCTTCAATGCTTGTAAAATTTTTATCTCATAATCTGTTATGCATGAAAACACAAATAAAATATACGAATGTGATACGAGAATAGAAATAGAATAGAAAAGTCTCTCTCACATTTTCAACCTTCTTCTTATTGAGAATGATATATTAAAAGTCCTCAGAAATACATATAATAATATGCATAAAATTAATCTAATATAAAATCGCACTGAAGAGATATAATTAAAATTTTTTTAAGTGAAGTATGCAAGATTGCATAAAGTTTTTTCTTTATTTTTTTAACCTTCTTCATCATTCATGAGTAGCAAAGTGATGATGCGACAGGATATATATGTTTCCTTGATGTAGCCAAATTCACTTACATTTAACGAATTCAATATCCGCGTGAAAAGTTACGTCAAACTTTAATTCGCTTCACAAGTTCACCTTGTAAATGAGTCTATTATCTCGAGAGGAAACTTCGTGAAAGAATTAAAAGTGATCTAAAATAGCACGACTAAAAGAAAACTGTAAGTCCTAAGTACCATGCAAGAATATCGATTAATAAAACTTTAATCAGGGCGTTATGCAAAATATCGATCGCGCGAGATATCATTTTCTCCTTTTTTTTTTCGTGGTACCCTATCCTTAACCAAGGAATGCGGCGGCCAAACTTTTAAACATTTCCTCCGGCATTCGCAATCGTGACACGCCGGCGGTTATTGCACGATTCCTCGCGTACACGGGGACGTATATGGAAAGTTGTAAATAGATTCTCGCAACAAATCGCCGTAGCGCCAGCTTGGAGCAAGCGCCCCGCTTCGACTCGAACTCGAGTGTGAGGAAGTTTGTACGGGCGGGTAGGTTGGATCGATGGCTGGATGGCTTGGTACGAGCACCAAAGTAAAGTTTGTCTTGGCTGCCGGCCACGACCCTCCATCGAATCACCGACGGAGTGATAACGATAACTCTAGCAACTGCTCAAGCCAGTATCGATTGTCATTAGACACCGTACGAAATTCTCTCGCAAGTTGCACGGCGGGGTCCTACAGCCTTCTCAGCGATTCGCTCGGCGCTTTTAATATCGAGGTAACGTACGTACGATCGCTCGTATAAGTGAAGAGACGGCCGACAAAATCCCTTATACCGTATGATATGTTACAGGAAACAGAAGAAGGGACATTTTTTAAGTCGCTCCGGGACCATTTCGCTCCTCCGCGTCGTGCGTGACAAGGTTTCGCGTCGGTTAGGCGCACTTTTTATTTTTACATCATACTCTCGCAAAAAAAATTTATCTAGTATAAAAAAAAGTACAAGTTTTGAATTTAACATATATTTTATTCTAACATTATATTAGATTTTAAATTATATAATCTATATCCGCGTAAAGATATGTAAAGAATATTTAATATGGCAACATAGGTGTGGCATGCTTATTAATATTAATCGCCACGCGCACAGAGGTTGCCCCATACGCAACGAAAATAATCATTTACAGCTAATTCACAGTTATGCTTTGTTTTACGCACTTCTCGTAGACTATTCGAGTATCAATATGAAAGAACGGAGATTAGTCGTCCTAAACGCAATATCCTTAGGGATTAATGCTTATCCGTAAGTACCTTAGTTATTGTTCTTGAGCACAGAATTTGACTTCATTCATTCATTTGATTCCAGCGTCCAGCCGATGGCAGTATAACAAACAACACGTTGCTAATTATTATTACAATATTACAAGACTCGCTGACAATTATCGTTGAACAAACGATCGTTTCTCAACTCATTGAGTTGATATTACGATTAAAATATTCTGTAGTTTTTTTTGCGTATGCGAACAGTCAATATCTTTAAACGATTTCTCCACTTTAAATGTCGCTCATATCATTCTCGGAGAACGTGATCTTTGTTCAACGATAATCGGGTCGCTATCTTCACAGCTTTCCACGTACGGCAGTGTGATTGAAATTACAGTTTGGTAGAATCGCGAGGACGTAGGAAAAGTGACAGATCGATCGATAAACGGGTATGCGTGCGAGTAACCGCGTACGTGTGTACCTTCAATCTGTCCGGAGCTAGACGCAAGGATCGATAGCTTAATTATGTTACAGACAAGAACGCGTTTTATACCTTGTGAACGCTTAAGTACGGAAATATAAAAAATCCTTACATGTCCCTATCTAAGTAGGCGTGTAGAAACGTTAAGTCGGTCCCCGTTCGCAAGACAGGACGTCCTCGAAATCTCATTGAATATTAAACGGATGAAATCCGCGGAAATATCGAATTCGCTCAAACGATTTCGCTCGTGTTATGATCGTTAAGGAATCGATGTCGAGCATAAACCCGACATTATTGGAAATTAATTTCACGAAAAAAATCCCGTGGAAAAAAAATTCCCTCATGATTTAGGTACTGTAAAATTAATGATATTTTTATTCGAGAGATATGTTAATTCGCCGAAAACTCAGCCAGATCTACTGTTTTATTATGAATCAGACTTTCTGGAAAATGGGTCGTAAAGCGAAGTGGTGAAAGTACTTTCGATAACAACAACTATATATCGATTCTCGAGGGATGATTTGACAAATCTTCAAAGTTTATGTTTGAAGATGCATTTTTGATGTGTACACATTCTTTACTTATATTTATATAGAATTATTTTTAGAATTTTATCTTAGTATTTTTTTTTGCATGTAGTATCTTCAAGACACTATATTTTTAAGGCGTTATTTATATTGAAGAAATATCAATTTTTCAGTCGATTCCACGGCTTTCTTAGGAAACACAGCAACGGTACGTGACGCGAATAAAGACGATAGGGAAATAAAAGAAAAGTTTCAACATTTCCGCGCACGAATAGCATACCGGCCGCGAATGAAATGCACTATTGCCTCTTGGGAAATTATTTTATGCCGGTCATTTGCTCTATTCATTTTATCGACGACGTAAACGTAATTTCCTGTCGTTAATGTCGGTACGCGAACGTCTGAGTCGTAATAGATAATTACTCATGGCTTCAGCTCCAGGAATTTTATACTCTTTGTGATTTCTTCAATTAATCCGTATTACTTTAAGCTACACGACGCAAAGCGTCGCAAAACTGCACTTACAAGCAGCGACTTTAAATGGCACATCTGTACCTTGGAATGCTATATTTCTTTAATAATAATTTGTGCCCTTAATCAGCATAAAGTAAACTTTGGCAACGCTATTTGCATTTAGTCTTTCGGTACGTAACATCCTGTTTTTATGAAAGCGGTAACTTCATATTCCAGCAATATGCAGCAAACATTTATTAAAGACACTTCAAAATTAACCTGGCAACGTCTGGTGGAAGTTCAAAAAATTTCTACGATATTTGAGAGACTTTGCCTGTCTTGATGCTTCTTACTTAGAACTTATATAATATACTGTATTTATAAAAAAAAATACATAACGTGTCGTTATAAATAAATTACCTTTAAATCTTACAAACAGCCACTTTTACACAAGTAGAAAGTATCAATATTATATATCACATTATCATGATTTTATTTTAATTATGATTTGAATTATGATATAAGTTTCAAGATGAAAGGAACAATTGAACTTATAAAATTGCAGAATTTTCATTTTTATGTCAATCCATTTATTGTTCTTGTCATATACGAGCGAAAATGAGAGCTATCTTGTATCGATTTCAAGGAGGATGTCCTACTTGCGCCAACGGTTCAAGCACTTATTTTTGAATTTTTTTGAACGTGTCCCAGATAGCGCTCTGTATACGCGTTCATTTATGCTCATTAGTATTATCACTGATGGATACGTATTAATGATTCCATCATTAATCGTTGAATCTAGACACGTAAAACAGTATATTAAGATAGTGTAAAAAACGTTACAACATAAAAAACATCGTACACAATCGTTTATCACATCACGACGATATTAGTAGATAACTATATGAAGTTGCTAATTGGAATTTTCTAAATTTACATTGGAAAATTACACAACACTATATCTATGTTCCTAATAAAAAGAAACGAAGATATAAAGTTTACGGGCAATTTTAACAGGCACGTTATTTTCGTGATTTTATTAAAGTTGTTAGCGTGTCTTAACTGTAAATTCAACGTTAATAATAGATTCAACAAAAACGTCTTTTCATCGCGATCTGACGATTTAGCATATATAACGTGTCATATATACCTATCCATCTGGGTTACGATCCGTAAAAACGCTGCTGGGTAATCTCCAATTGATTGAACCCGGCCGCCGGACTGTCAATCTCCGGAAATCCGCGTCCAAGTTTCACATTTCCGTATTTTCCTCGGCCTCCTCGTCGACCTTGGGCAACATATAGACGGCAGAGATCGGCGGGACGTGATCCTCGAGTTTCAGGATCGGCTTGCAATCTCTGGTAACGTCCACCTGATTGAAAGTGTCCTTCAGAATGTTGATCTCGTTTTCGTGCGCGAATATATTGGTGGGTGGTTCCGTGCCACATATATTGTTCTCGTCGGTGCCGTTCCTGTGGCACAGATTGCCCGACGGAAATTGTCACGAGGTCAGCGCGAACGGGTCCGTTGATAGCTCGTCTACGGACGAGCTCGGCTTCACCGGCTCCTGCTTGTCCGTTTGGTGACTCAGCCGATGGACGATCTCGTCGTGGAGGATGTTGAAGCACATCGCCGTCAGGGCCATCCCGGACATTATGTAGCAGGAGCAGAACCAGACCGTCACGTTTCTCGAGTCGGCGAGGGTGTGACGAGGATAAGAACCGGGCACCATGTCGCCGAAGCCGATAGTGCTCAGGCTCATGAAGCAGAAATAGCTCGCGTCTAGATGTGGAAAAAGCGCTAGCCGTTAACTTTTAAAGAAGGTACAAGCTTTATATCTATACATATATCATGTTTACGTATATTGCGCACTGCGTATATTACGTCGCAGAATTTATGCATGCCAATCTGATATGAGAAAATACGGCCGCGTTAATTTCGAAGCGCTTTGAGGCTCACCGAGATATGTTCATATCGCGGAAACTATCGGAATTCATGTCGAGAAGTGACGCAACACTGAACACAAAGTTTATGAGGTTTTTTCCCGACATGCACGGGACTTACCTACGAATGACCAACCGTCCAATTTGTGCAGGGTGAATGCTCCGGCAATGATGTAACACAGCATTGCGCCGAGACAGATACTGATTGGCGCGAGTATGGTGACGTTCGGCCTGTCGCCCGAACCGAGACTCGACACCTCGTCTTTCGGGCTGGCCTTAATTTCCACGGTGCTGGTGAACGTCGATGCATTCGCGCGAACGTAAAAGGGCTCCTGCAGCTGTAGCTGTTGCTGCTGCTGCTGCGCCAGTTCCTCCTGCTGCCGTTTCTTTCTCATTCGCCGCTCTTTCTCCTGTGTATACGAAAAAATACCCGAAAATGGAAAATCCGTTCATATCTGCGCGTCAACACACGTGAATGACCATTCTACACGTGTGCCAATTACATTCATGTTGCATCGCAACATTTTCGAGTGAACGCCAACATCGTTTACACTCTTGTGTTTCGAGTACCGGGTTTCGAAGGCTGATCCAATTTTATTTGAATAGCGCTCTAACAATAACCAATCAATACTACGGTGGCGATTAATCCTTATCGATCGTACAGGACATGCGTATCCTGCCCGACATAGACTATGCATATGTCGAGCTGATGCGACACATACATTTCCCATCACGTACACCCGGCTTGTTCAACAATTGAGAAAGACCGTATCACTGGCAATCTGTGATTGAATTTTTTATCGGCTATAACAATGCGAAACTTTCGGCAAGGCATGCCATCGCTAACCTGCATCCGCCTCTCGTCGTAGCAACAGTAGCCGCAATTCGAGCAAAGGCAACAGCAAAGAGCACGTGTGAAGACGCCTCTGGCGCATCTCGACAGGAGACCTCCCGCGCTAGACAGGTAGACCAGGGTCAAGGGTATACCAAGACTGGCGTAGCCCATCGTAGCAATTTTGCCCCAAGTGGATTTCGGTGCGATACTTCCGCAACCTGTGAACACGGAATGGGAAAGAAATTTAAGTTTATCAAGAATCTCGAAATCAATAAAAGATAATCGGAACATGAAGTATATACTGCGATGATATTTATAGAGATATTTCTTTCAATGAGGAGAGTGGTTCTATTGTACAATACAATGGCGATATTACAGCGGAAAAAGAACGGCGATAGAACCGCGACAGTCAATTTCTCGCACAATGTTAGCTTTCCGGATACTTAAAGGATAATATCCGCGGTGGTTTGCTCACGCTAATTAACCACCGCGGTAATAAGAACTTTGTGTAATATGGGATCACGAGTATATTGATCACGAGTAAATGTGTGTACGCGCGCGGACACATTTGTGTACATATGTATTGCGCGTATGTACACATATATAAGCACCAGAGCACCTTGAGTTTGTACAGGATATGATGCGGAAAATATTCCCTTCTAGTTCCGAGATCATTTTTGTCAGTGGGTCTAAAATCCTGAATAAAAATCAAATTCATTATCGTTTATCCCAACGATTTTGCTCGGAATAATTCTGGCGCAAGTTTTCGTATTACGATTCATATCCCGCGAGGAATATATTAAGCCGAAATTGATTAAGTTTCGGAAAATCAATATCTAGGTCAACGGTAAACCCTCGCGCGAGAAGTTGAAACATAAAGCGTAAAATTCGTAGAATTTCTTCGGTATCGTAAAAGCTTAAGTTTCGGCAAACGTCGATCAATCGTAATCTCCAAAAGCGATTCTCGCGATCGAGCGGCGGAATTTACAGTGCAGCAGCAGCGTCCAATCGGGGGTTGCTATCGGGGGATGAATAAAAATATCTACGGAGAAAAACTTAACTAGAGTTTTTTTTTTCAATTTCGCAAAACAATCAAAAGCGCTGTTTGATCAAGATACGAAGCTTTAATAAATTTCGACCCGTATCGCTGCAATGCAGGAAGGGAGACGAGCTGCATTAAAAGACTATTTTTCCTGTTGTTGATTTATAACATAAAATTTATCTGGTGACAGCTAATCGTTATCTCGAGTTTGTAGGAATAAACAGCGATATTTATATACAATATATTGCCAGAGAGAAATGTCAATACTGTTGACATCTAGCATTACTTCAGTTATTTTGTCATAAAAATTTTTTATGATATTAATCATTGCAAATTTCTCAACAAATTATTCAAACGGATGATGCACTTTCTGTCATAAAAAATACAGACACTTTTGACAGTATATATCGTGGATTAGTATGTTTAGTATACCGCGTGCTATGTACGATAATAAATATCCATTTATATTTTTTAGCAAGAGATGTGTAGGAACTGCAGTTAAGAATCATAAAGACCTCGTATATTTCTCTTATAAAATATTTTTTATCATATATGAGTAACAAGTTTCACTCATTTGTATGTGTGCATATGTGCGCATGTATCGCTAAAGCTTTTGATAAAATATTAACGTTTATATGTTCTAAGTTGTTTACATCAATTAATTTTACTGCCATGACGCGAAAGTTTCGCAGGCAGCGAAAGCAGAGCAGGGCAGCGGCAACAGCAGCAGCAAGAGTAACAGCAGCTTTAAAGCTCTCTATTTTACGTACAATCCTGATTATACACGATCCCCATTTTTCCAAACAGAATAATACGTTAAGTATCGTGGGGCTATTTTATCGCCGACAAACAGCGTCATTAATCTCCGCGAGATAAATAGAGGCTCATTCTTCCGCGGAAATGCGAGAAAAACGATATCTTTCCCAAAAACGCGCGAGCTTTTAGTTCTCAGCGCGGAGCTGCCGTATATTTGCGCATCGTTCAATCCCAATCCCGACAGGTCGACCTTATATGGACGAGAGCGATGAAAGCAACATAGAAGCGCAATATGTAGTTTCGCGCGCGCGCGCGCGTTTCGTGAGTCAATCCAAAAAATTACGTGCGCGTAGAATAAAAGGGACGGCGATGGAAAGAGAGTGGAAGAGAAACCGTTGCGCGGAGCGCGAAAGTCCTGGCGGGACCTGAAAAAGCGCTCTCGGCCGAGATGCGGCGCGAATCGATTGCTCGATGCCGCTTAAGATAATGGATCGCCTATCGGAATTGCCCCCCGGTACGTATATGATAGTGGCAGTCGGCTGCATCGAGCATCGCCGATGGAATTGCAGCCGCGGAAGCTCCGCGGAGCGATCGCGAAGGCCTATTCGTCACTGTCCCGCCACCTTATCGTTTCACGACGGCGCGACCCCTTCGGTCGCCTGTTATCTGTTGTCATTTGTTAGGGGACACAGTAGATTGTCAGCTTCGGTTTTATTGGCCGACCGAGTAAAAATACACTGCGCTCAATCAAAAGAGTGGCGGTGCGCTTTGTCGCGAGTAACGGCTACATGTTGAGTATCTTATTTCAAGCGGTTACGTCTATATCTACAGAAAAGACATAAAATTACTTAGAACATATAATATAAGACTGTAAATTAGACGTTGAACTTATATGAGCGTCGTTAGTATTATTGCTGTTGTATTATTGCGTTTTCTAATTACAATAAGCTCCTACGACGGTGATTATTATATTGCAATGGACATACCATTGCAACTAATCAACTACTGCGATAATAACTTTATGTAACGTATCATATAAATAAATTGATCCGTGCGAACATACATGCGCGTGTACGCGTAAATATAAATGTTTTTGAGATAAAGCCTAGAGAATAGTGTGGAAAATAGTTCTCTTCAGCCTTGAGATCACTTTTATTAATAGAAAAGTGTTAGTACGGTCGCTTTCACATGGAATCGTGGCACGGGGAAGCAATCACTTCCAAAAGATATATTGAAAACAATCCGTGAGATAACGAAGAAACTAACGAAAATTTGATGCACTAGTGGCAATTCCGCGAAGTGCGAATATTTTGATGAGCGAATTTTTCAAACAAGATGATCAATTTTTGTGTTTTTCCAGCACATTCGTATTTATTCTGTGTATATTTCCCGCATGAGATATTTATATTGTCTCTCGCGCAATTATACACAGTGATTAATTTTTTTCAGCGATTAATCCATCGAATCGAGATAGGATGAATATATTTTTTTATGTAACGTCGTAGTCGTGTGGTTTACTGTAACAAATGTGCTCCTAATCATACCTAATTATTTAATAATTAAATTCCATTACGATGTGTCGCGTTTCAAAATTTTGGCAAAATCTATATTTTGCACAACCAAATCAAATGACAATTCGAGAATTAAATTCTGCGATAGAAATTCGATGGCGGAACAATCTCTTTGTAACATAAAAGTAATACAGCATCTGGTCGTTTAAAGATGGTATCAAGAATAATAAATCAAACAAGCGTATCTCATCTCGCTCGATGCTCAAACCAACCAAGTCGAAGGAACTGGTGGGAGAGAAATATCGAACGTACGGAACAGTAAAATTTAATTATCAGTTAGCAATAACATGCGCTTGCTGAGTTACTCATTCTCAGCCGGCGGTCGCGTACACGCACCTACATAATTCTAACCCATGGCAATTCGATTGTTGTTCCATATAAAGGCACCGCCCTCGTTAAAGCTTACCTCAGTCGTCGTGGTGTGCTGCGAGACGCAGCGATTTTTAAATCCAACAGAATATTGTGTAATGTGAAACGTTTTACACGTATAAACAACGATCGAATATTTTATACGATTCCATTTGGCTTGATTCGGCCACATAACTTTCTGCAAAATGATAGTGAAAAATGTAATAACTATTATTTTCGTCGTCATAACTGGAACAGCATTCGTGCGATGTGCAGTTGCGGCAGTAAGTTTATTATGTTGACACGAACTGTTAACATTTCGACAAATATATAGTGATGCTGGATACAATATAGTGATTATTTGCTAATTAGATACGTACATTATAATTTTGATAATCTGTATAAATGACTGTGTATAAAGCGAGGAAAATTGTTAGCTTTTTAAAATAAGTTACGTATTATATTTTGTTAGGTAAAATAATTTTTAGTGATATTTGATTTATTTTATTTTCAGGGCAAACACCGTCCAAAATTAAAAAAAGAAGTAAGTGAGAATATATAACTTTTTTTCAAAATAATATAGTTTAAAAATGGAATAAGATAACAAAGTTATATACATGAGTTTTGTTTGTTATTATTTAATTATCTATTTCTATTATATATTGTAATTTATTGTGACGATAAAAGATATTTCTGATTAAAGGGAATTGGGCACAAATCAAATAACGAAGATGTTCTACTACGTGCTCTTTCGGACTTCGGCGTCGTACGAAGATCTTTGAATCCGGTGCTGTTTGAACAGTATTCAAGTAGCAGTATTCAATACCTGAAAGATGAACAAAATATTCCGAATGGCGATAATAGGAAGAACGTAGTAATAGAGAAATTAAAATCGTCAGTGACATTCCGTGATAACATACTCCATATCTTCTCGTACTTGCTCCACGGTCTTGAAAGCGGAATGACGGAAGAACAATATACATCATTGCAGACGCTTTACGAGTTCTTCAAGAAAAAGACGGTTTATATGTATAATTTATTACCGATTTTATCTAAATTAGATACCACAGACAAGAATCAACAGACAAGTGTCATATTGTCGTCGGTGACAAAAAATCTACCATCTTATATTCAATGCACAGCTAAATACTTGACCAACGAGATCGAATTGAATAGAATCGATTTAAATACGTTACTAAAACCAACAGAATTTGAGACGTTTAATTATCTTGCCGACATCGATTTAGACACAGTCTCGAAAGGTAAAATTAAAAACGAAGAAACGATAGGATATGACAAACACTCGAATATCACTCAGAAAGCTCTTGGTCCGGTGTTCGTAAAACTTCTTAACAATCTACAAACAAAGAAGCAGCCTTTGTCGCAAGAATTATTCGGTTTGATACTGATAAACTTACCAAACCCTAGCGATGATCCCGTATTGGAAGAAAACGTCAGATTTCTGTACGATTTAACTAAAAATAACATTATCGATTATAAC